CTTTTCACGCCGTTTTTCGGGGATTTCGGATTTTCTTTGAATTTTTTCGCAATAATATTTGAAAAATAGATAAATTTTAACACATTTTAATGCAATAAAAATTTCTGGTCGGAGTCCCCCTTTAAAGGCGCATAGGGAGATCGAAATGAGGAATTTCCAGAAAGTAGGTCATGATTATACTCATTTTGAAGCTTTTTACAAGCCAAACACAAATAAATTATAATTTTTCAGTTTAGTCGGAAACTGACTGATTTAAGGCGCTCTTAAGCAATTCGACATTGGTAGATTTCGATTTTCGCGTCATTTTCATTCAACATGTTGCAAAAAGGAAGAGAACAAAAATCAACCAATTCAACGAGAATTTCAAGAATATGTTTGAATGGAAAAATGACCATCAAAACCACCGTTTTCTCTCTCGTTTTTCGGGACAATTTGTCAATTCTTCAAAAATTCGAGAAAAAAGTGGGCGGAGTCAACGAGAGAAACTAATTGTCGTTCATCTATAGAAACCCTCGTCTCTTGAAGGTCAACACATTTTTTAGAGAAAAAATTTTTTGGGAAAAATTGGAAAAAGAGAGTGTGGTCAAAGTAGAAAAGACCTGAAAATTCGAAATTTTAAGTTTTTTGGGAATTTCAAATTTCCAAACAATTCTAAAAATCCAATAATCGAAAAAAGCATAAAACTTGAAAAATTTTGAAAATCGGGAAAATTCTGAAATTCTGAAAATTCTGAAACTCTGAAAAATCGGAAATTCTGCAATTCTGAAAAAACTGAAATTCTGAAAATTCTGAAATTCTGAAAATTCTGAAATTCTGAAACTCTGAAAAATCGGAAATTCTGCAATTCTGAAAAATCTGAAATTCTGAAAATTCTGAAAAATCTGAAATTCTGAAAATTCTGATATCCTGAAAATTTTGAGATTCTGAAAATTCTGTAATTCTGAAAATTCTGAAATTCTGAATATTCTGAAATTCTGAAATCCTGAAAATTCTGAAAATTCTGAGATTCAGAAAATTCTGAAACTCTGAAAATTTCAAAATTTTGAAATTCTGAAAATTCTGAAATTCTGAAATTCTGAAAGTTCTGAAATTCTGAAAATTCTGAAATTCTGAAATTCTGAAAGTTCTGAAATTCTGAGAATTCAGATAATCACTAAATTTTAAAATTTTGAAAATCTGAATATTCTGAAATTCTCAAATTTTAACATTCTGAAATTTTGAAAATACTGAACATCTTAAAAGTTCTGAAATCCCGAAATTCGAAATTTTCAGATTTAGAAAAAATAAAATAAAAATCCAAAAATCCCAAATTTTTTGATAGTTTGATTTTCACCAAATTTTTTTTTTTTTTTTTTGATAAAAAATTGTTTTTCCGTTTTCTTGATTTTTCATTTTTTCTCATTTCTATCCCATCGAAAAAAAAACGGAACTACTATTCTTCTTCTTTTTCTCAAATAGTACCCACACGACTTCCAAATGACCTTTTCAGTCATCAAATAGAATCAAATGGTTTCAAATTGATATGACGATGATGTTATCAGAATAACAAGAATTCCGGCGATTTCTGGTCAATTGGTCTAGGTCACAAAACATGAAAAAATGAAAAAAAAAGATTCTGGAGGTATGGGGAATTGAACCCCAGCCCTCTCCCATGCTAAGGGAGCGCTCTACCACTGAGCTATACCCCCGCACGTTCACAGCGAGAGCGGAGTGAGTATAGAAAAGGGTGAGGAAGTGGAGGGTGGCAGGAAGAGAGAGAGAGAGGGCAAGGGAAGGGGAAATGGAGGATCGAAGGAGTATGGAGGTTCCGGAGTTCGATAAAAATCGCCTAGTTTTTCAAATTAGATGGTTTCTAGGCCGTGGATTTTGAGACAGTAGTTTACTAGGCATACAAGTTTACTATGTTACTATTTAGGTTACTAGTTTGAGGTTATACAATTTTTATTTAAAAGAAAAAACTACTTTTCAGGTATCTTTCTTTGTCGTTTTCCAACTTTTATATCTTTTTCAAAATTTCTAGACTTCAAAAATACTGAAAATCCTAGAAAAATTAATCACAAGCTTTCTTCGACACTTCTCGGAAAATCTCCTTTCCTGGCGGCCGCCGTCCCGCTTCGAAGAGACGCAGAAAACAACAGGCACCTGTACGCCCTCGCTCTCCCTCTTCGATGTGTGGGGGTATAGCTCAGTGGCAGAGCATTCGACTGCAGATCGAGAGGTCCCCGGTTCAACTCCGGGTGCCCCCTAGTGCTTTTTTGCTTTTTTAAAACCCTTTTCAATGATTTTTGGGCTGTTTTTAGATTATTTCAAGTCCAAAATTTTTATTGCGAAAAGGAGTCAATAGTATTATCTTCCATGCGTGCCTCCCAACATCTGCCTCAGTTGACCAATGTACCTAAAATCCACTTTTTAGGGATTACGGTAGCTCGCATACTTACTCAATGGCTCTATAGAGTATCTGTTTTTTGGAGGGTCGTTCCGCATCACTTCTGGTCCATGGCAACACATTTGCAAGAGTTTCAAAAGCTTCGCCCAATTTTCGTTGTCTTTCTTTTTCACGGAGTGTGGCCTGGAAATTTTGGATTTTGCGGACATCTGGTCAAACAGGCAGACTTACGATTCTCCTTTTCTCAGCGGTTAGGAAGCGTCTGGAATTTGTCATTTTTAAAAATAAATTATTGGTACAACATGGAATATCTTGCTTTCAAGTGGATGTTTTTGTTATAACAGTTACTAAAATAGGCTCCGCCCACTTTTCCCTTTTAACTGTGCCGCCCGGCTTCTCGTCTCAAGTGGAGCGCCTGTCTCACAGGTGGTCCGCAGCTAGATGGTGCAGGCTTAAAACTACCGTAACTCTCTTCATTTTTGTCCAAATTGGATGAAACTAATTTTGTTAAAATTTTCGTTAAAATACAAACAAAATGAGTATAATCATGGCTAGGTTTGGATGAAATTTTTTTTTGAAGTTTTTTGAATTTTCAAAAAAACTTAAAGGGGGAATTCCACCACAG